TCATTGGCTCGATTCCAATCGAATTAGACTAGCAATTCATCAAAAATGAACAAACTCGAAGTTATCATAAAATCAAAAACCACACTTTTATGCCTTGCGATCGTCCCATTTCATCATAAACTCTAATCCCTTATGTACTTCATCATTCTCCCCAAGGTAGGAAAAATTCGCCCTCGAATTTAACGAGAAAGGAGCTTCATCCTCATCAGAATTGTCATCACGAAATGGCACCAAATGCTTGATATTGAACACGTCAGATGTACGAATAAGGCTGGGTAGCTTCAAATGGTAAGCATTCGGATTGATCTTTTCAATGACCTCCAATGGACCAATCTTCTTCGTAGTAAGCTTGCTATATTCATGAGCAGGAACACAATCCTTTGTTAACACCGCCCAAACAAAGTCACCTACCTCAAATTCAACATGTCTGTGTTTAAGATCCGCAGCACGCTTATACTCAGTGACAGCAGCCTGCAACTGATCATGAGCCTGTGAGTGAACCTGCTGCACTTGCTGAATAAAGTCTTCGGCCTTACCATGTATTTTAACAGAAGTAGAAACAGGAACTAGATAAAGAAGACCATGAGGAAAAAGGCCATACACCACCTGGAACGGACTAAAACCTGTACTTCGGTTAACAGCATGATTGTAAGCAAATTCTGCTTGACACAACTTCTAATCCCAAGACTTGATGTGATCAACAACCAGGCAACGTAATAAATCACCTAAGGAACGGTCAACAACCTCTGTTTGACCATCTGTCTGAGGGTGATATGCACTGCTGAAGTCCAACCGTGTATTCACCGAGCGCCATAAGCTGCGCCAGAAGTGGCTGAGGAAACGAGTATCCCGATCAGACACGATAGATGTAGGTAGTCCATGCAGGCGATAAACCTCATGAAAATACAGTAAGGCCACAAAGACAGCATCTGTAGTCTTCTTGCAGGGGATGAAATGTACCATCTTTGAAAATCGAACAACCACTACGAAGATCGAATCAAACCCACGTTGAGTCCTGGGAAGTCCCACAAGGAAATCCATGCTCACTTCTATCTAAGGCTGGGTTGGAATAGACAGGGACATATACATGCCTGCATTTGTCGCCTTGCCCTTGGCCAAGTGGCAAACCCGACAACGCTCCACAAACTTGCCGACATCTTTGCGCAATGATGGCCAAAAGTAAGAAGCAGCAACAAGCCACAATGTTCGGTCACGACCCACATGGCCCTCATTATGCAACTCTTGAATGATCTTCAACCTCAAACTGCCCTCTGGAATACACAACTGATTTCCATGAAAAAGAAAACCATAAACCCATGCAAACTCTAACTGCACACCCTCCTATAACTTCTGAATAACATGGGAAAAGTATGGGTCAGTAGCATATGAGTCACACAAACTGTCAAAACCTAGAACCTCGACTCGCATTTCTGTAAGGAGAGTTTGGCGCCTACTCAATGCATCTGCAATTTTGTTAAGGGCACCTGCCTTGTGCTTGATCACAAAAGTAAACTGCTGTAAGCAATCCAAGAGGCATGTTGAGCAGATACCTTATCTTGAGTACCAAGGTGTTTAAGGGCGTCATGATCCGTATACAAAATAAACTCCTTCTGGAACAAATAGTGACGCCAATGTCGAACGACCTGAACTATCGCATAGAACTCCGCATCATAAGTACTATACCGAGACTTTGGGCCAGAAAGCTTCTCACGGAAATATGCGACAGGGCGGTTGTTCTGACTCAGCACACCACCAATACCCACTTTTGAAGCATCACAATGTAACTCAAATGGTTGGGTAAAGTCAGGCAACACCAAAACTGGAGCAGTAGTCAACTTCTGCTTAATCAATTGGAAAAACGACTCTGCCTCGTGAGTCCACTGGAACCTACCATCCTTCATGCAATCTGTAATTGGTGCCATGATGCTACTAGAATGTGGTATGAACCTGCAATAGAAGGAAACAAGGCCATGAAAACTTCGTACCTTAGTGACAATCTTGGGCAGTGGCCACTAAATTACTGCCTTTACTTTAGATGTATCAACTGCTAACCCCGCCTTCGACATCACATAACCCAGGAACACCACACTATCAGTAAGAAATGAACACTTCTTCACTGCAGCATAGAATTTATCCCTGTGAAGAACTGAAAGAACTTCCCGAAGGTGCTGGACATGATCATCATCGTTAGCACTATAAATTAAAATATCATTAAAGTAGACCACAACAAATTTATCGATGAATGGGTGAAGAGGCTGATTGATAATCCGCATGAACGTACTGGGCACATTTGAGAGGCCGAAGGGCATGACTAACCACTCGTACAATCCTTCCATCAACTTAAGTGCGGTCTTCCACTCATCCCCATGTCTGATCCGAATCTGATGGTACCCACTCTTCAAATCAAGCTTGCTAAACACACAAGCACCAGTAAGCTGGTCCAACAAATCATCCAGGTGGGGAATAGGAAAGCAGTACTGCACCGTAATCTTATTGATCGTCCTACTATCCATGCACATACGCCACGTGCCATCCTTCTTTGGCGTGAGAAGAGCAGGAACAGCACAAGGACTAAGACTCTCCCTGATGTGTCCTTTTAGCAGAAGCTCCTCAACTTGCCTGGGCAACTTCTCATGCTCAGTGGGGGCTCATTTTGTAATGTGCTCGGTTAGGCAGGGTAGCACCAGGCACCAAGTCAATCTGATGCTGAATATCCCGCAGTGGTGGTAATCCATCTAGAAGCTCTTCTAGGAAAACTTCATGAAACTCTTTCAGCAATGGCTGAATTGCGAGAGGGACTTCATGCTCACTGTCAATCAACTTTCCCGTCAGCACATACACTACCCCAGACTCCTCCATCTCTGTCTCGAACTTCTTTTTGGTCAGTAAATTGGCGTTGTTCCCAACTGTTTGTACTGAACCTTTATCCGGTAATAACACAATTTTCTTTCTCCCAAAGAGAAAGTTGTACGTGTTAGTATATCCATTATGCAGTGAGTGTCTGTCAAATTGCCACGGCCTCCCTAATAGTAAATGACACGCTTCCATCTCTACTACATCACATAAAACCCGATCCTTGTAGGTAGGTCCAATTGAGAAGCTGATTCGAGCATGTTAAGACACTTCTACGTCGTTGCCTCTCTTCAGCTAGGCTAATTTGTACGATTTGGGATGTTTCTCAATCTGCAAACCCAACTTCTTAACGACTTCCTCAACTACCACAATCTCGCAACTACCAGAATCAATAACAAATTTACATACCTTCCCTCCAACAGTACATGTCGATTGAAAGATATTGTTACGCAACCAATCAGTATTATTCTCCAAGGGAGTCAGGAAACTCCTCACCACCAGTGCTTGACCCACATCACCAACCACAAACTCTTTATCTTCTGTTGCTTCTTCTACGCTTTCACCGTCAAATACAGGCGGACATTCATAATCGTCATTTCCCTCATCAACAAAGAGTCCCATGTGCGGATTTTTGGGGCACTTAGACTACCTATGGCCTGTAACTCCGCATCCAAAACAACGAATACCAACCTCTGGACGTGTTGGTTGTTGGACAGGATTTATTCGAGGAGGACCAGATTGAGCAGGATTACCAGGACGTGTCACCTGCTATTGTGGGTTACTGGAAGAACTCCCTGCAATGAAAGGACTAGTAGTTCTCCTGGACTGTTGCTTCTCTATCTGTATTGCCCTCTGATGTGCTTCAGAAATTGTCACAAGATCAAACATATTGAGAGTATCCTGTATTTGGGGACGAAGACCACCCATGTACCGTGACACCAACTACTCCTCCGTCTCCATCATCTCGTTCCTCGTAACCAACATATAAAAATCCGTGGTATAATCACTAACCGTTTTCCCACCTTGACGCAGATTCTGCAGTTGTTGGTACATGGTCTGCACATAATTGTAAGGCAGAAACTCTTTCTTCATATGCTTCTTCAATTTGTCCCACGAAACAAGCTTGGGTTTCCCTAGCCTGGATCTCGTCACTTTAGTCTGCTGCCATCACGCCGCTGCTCGCCCACGAAGCCTCGTCGCAACGAGAGGCACACATTTATCAGCAGGAACCTCTTTAAACTCCAAGATCTCCTCCACTGCAGTCACCAAATCCAAGAATTCTTCTGAACTAAACCTACCATGAAATTCTGGAATATCAACCTTAAATCCTAATTCCTAACGTCGGTTGTCCTCCTGACCACCCCTTCTTCGGCGAACTGGCAGATCCAATGATTGTTCAAGTGGTACGAACGGATTCTCATCATCGGAATCCTCAAACTATTGGGCTGCAAGCGCAAGCTGCTGCGGCATAAGCGCAGCGATCTGCTGTTTCAGCAATTCCACTTGTTAACGTAGCTGTGTGATTTCATCATGTCTATGTACCTCTTCTACCGGGGGCATCACGGGCTTCAGGACATCTCCTTGGCAGCATGATGAAGGAACGATTTTGGCTCTGATACCAATTGACGTAGCGGAAGATTATAGGGAAGATGAAGAATCACAAAATGAAAAAACTCTCAAGGAAAATTTTATTGAAATCAAGAACTGTCGCCTCAAAGGGTTTACAACGCCTTAAATAGAAGAAAAACCTAGCAAAATTTGAAAAATAGAATAAAAGGATATTTTTTCAAAAATAGAAAATATGAGATAACTACTAAGATGGAAAATCCTTATCTTTAGGATCATCCTCCAACAAACGAAATATAAGTTCGAATTTTATGGAAAAAGATATTGCAAAAACAAAAATTATCATAAATAGCAAAAACGCCTAAACGAGAGCCTAAACGATAAATTTTGCCCAAAATTGGCCTTGCCTCAGGGCCGAAGGCCCTGTGTTTTATTCATTGGCTCGATTCCAATTGAATTAGACTAACAATTCGCCAAAAACGAACAAACTCAAAGTTATCATGAAATCAAAAATCACACTTTTATGTCTTGCGACGGTCTCATTTCATTATAAACTCTAATCTCTTATGCACTTCATCACAATGTGTGGGACAACTCTATTTGTCGGGGTTGGGAAGGAATTTTTTCCTCCAGAAAGTTTTCGTTTTATCATAGTTATTTAACATCATTCTCAATTATTCCATTGATTGTTAGTTAAGGATTGTGTTTTACATTCATTATCATCAAAAATATCATTTTCGTATATCTTGTTACTTAGTTAAGGATTTAGTATATAAATAATTTTAATGATGCTTTTTGCTTTTATCTTGAAATATATTGATATCCCAACTTAAAGTGAATCTGGATTTTTACAACAGAACTCTCCATTGGTAGCTGGACTTGCTGTTGCTGCTGTTGCTTATGCTGGTAGATATGGGATTCAGGCCTGGCAAGTACTCAAGGCAAGACCACCAACTGCTAGAATGCGTAAATTTTATGAAGGAGGTATTCAGCCTAAAATGACTCGGAGGGAAGCGGCTCTTATACTTGGAGTCAGGTAACTCCATTTTTTCTCGTTTTTCGTGGGTAAAGCAAATCTTTTTTCACAAGCTAGACTTCTTGAAGTTGCACATATTTGCAGCGATTTTCAAGTAATGTTGGATATTGAAATGCATAATATTCCATAACAAACGCAGTGCGGTACTATGCATGCACACAACAGAAGGTCATGTGAGGCTGGCTTCCAAATGTTTATATTTAGGCAGTTTGAAATCTGTAGATCTTGTGAGTTTGTAAATTTTGTCAAACAATTTACTTTGGGTTGATGAACGCATAATTTTGTGCAGTACATGTTGGGATATGTTTTTCCATTGAATTATTTTAATTTATTTGGGCTTTATGTGCATCTTATTTTTTTGGAGCAAAGAGGGATGTTGGCGGTTTGAATCCTCGGCTGGATTTCTCAAGAGCTTCAAGATCTTGCTCCCCTTCTGCTTCTTGTGCTTTAAATTGATCTCAAATTACTCTAATTGGTTTGAGACTGTATCAGACGAAGCTTAAAGCACCCCTATTAAAGAAGTTGAGCAAATCTAGAAACAAGCTGCAAAAAAAGGACCTTGGGAAAATTGTAGTGGTGGTTCCCAACCTATTTAATCTGTACAAACGGGTCCCAAAAACTTTTTTGGCATCTTAGTTCTCAACTTTTCAAGTTTGTAGAACCGGTCTCCAGCGAATGATTTCCATTCAAATTGCCACTGAGAAAATAGAGGAAAATGAAATAGTAAACCACAATTCCCACCGACACAGTCACACCCCAACCTTCCAAAGCCCCTCCTCCCACCTCCTGGCAGCCCTACCTTTTTCGCTAGCCCCGGTTCCCCATTAACCCACCTGGGATGGCAGTCTGGAAGTGAAATTTTAAGGGCACCTGGGTAGAAGGTTATTTTGTAAAATTTGTTTTCTTATTTTTTTTTGTTTATTAAAGTGAAGGGTAATGCCATCTTTTAAACTGTTTTTAATGGTCATATTTGACTGATATCATAGGATCCAAATGCATGAGATAAAGCTTGGGGACCGCTTCTGCATTTCCCCCAAAAACTTCTTTATATTACCCCCTTTCTTCAAACCCCGCAGTTCTGTTTGGAAGTCCTGTCGTTTACTTGGTATCAATATAGTGCTCAGTGGTTGAATAAGTGGGCCTGAATTGTTTGCTCATACATATTGAGGCTCTATCAACTAGGTAATTTGACTGATGGAGTCGTGCCTGAAGTGCTACAATGGAGATATTTCAGGAGAAAAATGAGATCGTGTGTCTTAAAAGGGAACATAAGATGTTGCACAAGCATCTTATTCGAAATTTATGTCCCTTAAATTTATCGACCATTAGGCATACAGATTAACTCTCTGTTGGCCGTTTAATATGCTTATGCGGATATGCTTCATTTAATGAAATATAATTTTTTGATTGACATTAAAATACTGACTCTCTGGTTAGATATTCCCGTCAGATATACATGGGAAAGCAAATATCTGACATTATCTGATCTTTCATTATCGTAACTTTCAGGGAAAGCATCCACGTAGATAAGATAAGGGAAGCTCATAGGCGGGTGATGGTAGCGAACCATCCCGATCCAGGTGGTAGTCATTACCTTGCTTCTAAAATTAATGAAGCAAAGGACATGTTGCTTGGGAAGACCAGGAGCAGTGAGACTGCGTTTTTGTTTGATTGAAGAGTCCCAGCAAATCTTTGGCAGCGGAATTTTAAACATAAAAAACTGCTGAAGCTGAATCTCTTCTACTCGTTTAGCTGGTTGTTTATGGTGACGAATTATTGATAGCTAAGCTACATTCGTTCGATTCTTCATTCCTAGTGACTGTAATTTGATAATGTAATGCCACCTTTCTTTTTCCAAGAAGCATAGTTTTACCTCGTTGAGTTATTCGGTGCCCCGAAAAATTTTGCTGGCTAAGTTTGACCTGATCAGGATTAATATTCTCTTTTTACTTTACTGTACGTTTCAAGTTCTTAATTGAGGATGGATCTTTATTGCTATGTTTTCTGTTTATCTCCACCCTCCCCTCGATTGTCTTCTCTTGGCATATTTCCTGCATTCCCTATTATGTTCGCTGTTTTGCATGTATCAGTTAAGAAATTATCACTAAACTATATTTGTTTTGGAAATTTTCGGTGCTTTTAGCTCTTCCTTTCCTCCTCCATTTATACACTGAATTATAATACATACATTTTACATACAGACAGAATATTCCCGCTTTTCCTATCAGCTGGTAACACGTGTCTAACTACCTATATACACATCCCCTAAATTGGGGAAATATATTGCAATATGCTATTAATACTGTTAACAATTTTAACAGCTTTACCAGTATTAACAGCTTATATAGTGGAGATATTCAATCTTGTTCATCAATACTAACCCCCCCTCTCAAGGTGGAGTGTGTCTTTACCACTCCAAGCTTGTCCCTAAAGAATATGAATCTTGAATGAGAGAGAGGTTTCGTTGATATGTCTACAATTTGATTTGAGTATGAGACAAAATGCACTTCTAGTTTCTTCTTCAAAACCGTCTCTAACAAAGTCGACATCCAGTTCTATGTGTTTGGTACGAGCATGATACACTAGATTTGATGCCGGTGCACTTGCACCCAAGTTGTCACACCATATTTTAGGAATTGCATTGTGTGGTATACTTAGCTCTTTCATTAGGGATTGAATCCAAGCTATTTCTGATGCACTATGAGCCAATGCTCTATACTCCGCCTCTATGCTAGACCTCGCAACATGTTGTTTCTTAGAACACCAAGAAACCAAATTATCTTCAAGATTGATATAGGACAACTAGCTTTGGAGTTTGAAGAGGTGTTGGACAGAAAATTAACAAAGAAAAATCGTACCAGGGATAATTTTGTCATTTGTCACGACGGTGTCGGAATGGGTTGAAATTTGGCAGGTTGATTGGAAACGGCTCGAGAAATTGGACTCGGGGCGGAGAGATCTCAGGATTTTAGCCAAATCCCTTCGTTTAGGCCTCCGAATAATTAATTTCCATATTTCCCGTTTTGAATTTTCGCCTTTTTTGGAACGTTTTATTTTTTCTATGTTTTAGGGTTTCTTGTAACGCCTATTTAATAGCTTTTGGAACGTTTTCCGTCAGCATTAAATAATATACAATTTTCATTCTTGGAGAATTCCAATTTTTTTATTTTCAAGATTTACGTTGGTAAATCTTTTGTTTTTCTTACTTCCGTTCTACGTCAAAGATACACACAATAGCCAGCTGTAGACCTTCTATCATCAGGGCATGATGCCCAATCTAAATTTATGAATGTTTTGATGTCCAAACTGTCATTCTTCTGGATAACTAAACCATGCGTTAGTGTACCGTTTAAGTATCTAAAAATTCTCTTGAGGGCCTTCCAATGAGCATCTACGAGGGCTTGAAAAAATTGGCTCATTTTATTTACAGAATAGACAATATCAAGTCTTGTGTGTGTAAGATATTGAAGGCCACCAACTGCACTCCTGTAGAGAGTAGGATCACTCATGGCTTGCCCCTCATCCTTAGATATTAGTTTACCTACTGCCATAGGAGTTAGGATTGGTTTCAAGTTTTCATAGCCAAATTTCTTCAACAAATCAACCATATATTTTTTTCTAAGTTAGATAAAGTCCCATCGCGTCTCTACTTCAATACCCAAGAATTGATTGAGATTTCTCATGTCTTTAAGACCAAAACAAGCATCTAGTTTATCAATAAACATCTGTAGTTGCTGGTCATTGCTTCCTGTTATTACTATATCATCTACATAATCCAATGCAAATATGACATTGTCTTCATTCATTGAGAAAAATAGTGAATTATCTGCTTTGGATTGTCTAAAATTCCACACCAATGGAGTCTCCTTCAACTTATCATGCCAAACTCTTGGTGCTTGTTAAAGCCCATAAAGTGCCTTTTCCAATTTGCATACAAAATCGGGGTTTTCTGATCCTCAAAACCTCGTGGTTGCTTCATGTACACAGTTTCTTCTAAATTACCATTTAAAAAGGCATTATTTACATCAACTTGCCTGATTTGCCAATATCTTGACACGAGAAGAGTTAATATAATTTTCAGTGTTGATGCCTTGATAACTGAACTAAAGGTTTCACTAAAGTCCACTCCAAGTGTTTGTAGAAAATATTTTGCAATAAGTCTTGCTTCATACCTCTTTATCTTGCCTTCTGAGTCATATTTCAGTTTATAGACCCATTTGTTTCCAACTAGCAGTAACTACGTGCTTTGCACGTCTTATGTATCGAGTGAATTATATACCGACTATTTTTTTAAAGTTGTTGAGATAATTGATACTATTAAAGAAAAAAGTATAATTATTAAATATAATGAATAAAACATTTTATGCAAATGTGTATATAATATCAAAATATTGAATAAAATGAAGTATAATCTTTTAATTACAATAACAGTTCTTCGAATATAATATTTTTTATCAACGTCTCACGACTGTTCATTCTTTTATTTGTAATTCACATAAACACAAATATGTCAATCGTATTAAAATATTCATACATATACAAATTATTGGAACACAAACACAATTAATCTACTATTGTATTAATGCAAAACGTTATATATTGTAATATTTTTTATGAATGTGTATTATAAATATTTAGCTTCAATTTTAAGTAATTAAACTTAAATTGATTAATATAAAGTACTCTAACGTAAAGTAATGAAATTTATATTTTAAAGGAGATAAAATGAAGTAGAGTTATATTAAATTTTTGGACTTATAATATAATTGATAATTAGTAACGATTATTATACATTTAAAATTAAATGCGTGGTTGTCGAAAGTAAAATAAAAAAGGGCATAAATGGAAATTAAAAGTTTTCCACACCAAAGTTTCAATTATTGACATTGTTGTTTTAATACTATATATATATAATGTTAACAATTGAAGCATTTCTATTTTATATCATGGGCATAAATTTTAGAATTTGTTACAAATGAATGTAAATAATGTAAACCAATAATGTTCTTAATCATGTTTATGTTGAGGGTTTAGAATTTCAACAGTTATTATTCAAATAATTAGTTACTTACTATTCAATTTGGATGAACAAAAATATACCATTATCTATTTCTTTAAGGGTAATGAATATGATTTTATTTCTGTGATTATTCGATTTCTTTAAAAATTGCTGATCTCGATTTTCCCTTGTGGTTATATGATTTTCACTCTTATTGCAAGTATTTTCAGTTTTTTCTTATTTCAATGAAGGTAAATCAAGTCAAGAACACATGTTTAATAATGATTAAAAAATATTATTACATACTATTATTTTCTGGAAATTTTTTTTATATAATTTTTTTTAATTTTATGTGATAATATTTTTATTAAATAATTATTAATAATTGTGTTTAGTGGAAATTAATTGACTTAATTTTCAAAAGCAATAATAATTATTAATTATCTTATTTAGAGGAAATAAATTGAATTATTTGGTATTCTGTAGTTAATTATGTGTAATATTATTATTTCTTTTAATTGTATGTAATAATGTTTTTATTAATTGTGTTTAGTGGAAATTAATTGACTTAATTTTTAGAAGCAATAATAATTATTAATTATCTTATTTAGAGGAAATAAATTGAATCATTTGGTATTTCATTTTTATCTAAACTTAGGTATACACATTATTAATATAGCATATTAATGCAACCTTAGGTAAATAATTAATATAGCATATTAATGCAGCCTTTCATTTTTTTTTTAAAAAAATTTCTTTTTGTAAACCAAATGAGGGTATATTGGAGATATAGGTAAATGTATAATAGTATAATTGGTATTCAAAAATTTCTTCTCAATTCACACTTTTATATAATACAGATTATTTTCATTTCTGACTTTGATGGCACTAATTTCCTTGTTCTATTCTTCATCAAGGCATCATAATCTTCTTATATGACTCTTTTCCATTTATTACTTAATAAAGCTTCATCAACATTTTGTAGCTCTGTTGGGGACTACACCGATTCAAATGTGCATATTATATTCACAAAACGTAACTTACACGTTCATAAAATCAAAACAAGGTTTCGATTTATCGAAATGGAGTTTGAGAAACTAATCAATAATTATCGAATCGATCATTTCCATTCTTGAATTAAAATGTGTGATTCTTCATATCGAACCTTACATAAACCATATAAATAAAATTAATCATTTTCTGAAATCAAGTATGAAGAAATAAAATCAGAAATAAGAAAAAAAAATTAGATGCAAGTGATGCGATTGACCGAGGCGAGTATAACTCTTTCCTTAAGATAAATTTGCCCCGCATCGATGCAACGGTTTTCGGACAATTATCTCCCAAGGTACAACGACCACGTCAAGCCATAGGTGCACTCCAAATGGCTTCGACCAACAAACTCAAATGGAATTCCCTTTCTACTAAGGAAATACATGAAAATACTATGGAATTAGAAAAGAGAGAATTGTAAGAGGAGAACGAATTCTCAATGCAATTAGTGTACCTAAAACCATGTCCATAGGGTTCTATTTATAGATGTAGAAATGGTGCAAATGAAGCAGTGTTGACCAAAATATGCATCCTTTCAAAAAGTTGCAACACTTAGTCAAAACCTGCATCCTTTCGAAAAATTGCAATATTTCATTTCTTTCAACTTTGGTCCGCAATTTCTCATTCATCCGAAATTGGTTTCGATCCAAATATACCACGACGATCTTCTCAACGAGTAAAAGAAATTGGTCTATTTACTTTTGTAATTTGACTATCGGATCAAGTCCGAATATTTGGTCGAAGTTGACACGTAGTCACACCTTTTCATTTTCCACTTTTACACACATTTTCATTTTCCAATTTTTGGTTAATTATTTGAACCAATTCCTACAAGCTCAACTTCAACCATTCTATCCTGAATTTGATTTATATACACCTTTGGTTTGAAGATTCCTATTTTACTTCTAGTGATTATATGACGT